AGAATAGAATAGAATAGAATAGAATAGAATAGAATAGAATAGAATAGAATAGAATTCTTTATTGGCCAAGTGTGGTTGGACTCACAAGGAATTTGTCTTGGTGCAAATGCACTCAGTGTACATAAAAGAAAAGATACATTCGTCAAGAATCATAAAGTACAACACTTAATGATAGTCATAGGGTACAATAAGCAATCAAATCATACTAGGAAGCAGTCAGTATAAATCGTAAGGATATAAGCGACAAAGTTACACTCTTACAGTCACAAGTGGGAGGGGACGGGTGATCAGGAGTGATGAGAAGATTAATAGTAATAGTAGTGCAGACTTTGAAATAGTTGAACAGTGTTGAGGGAATTATTTGTTTAGCAGAGTGATGGCGTTCGGGACAAAACTGTCCTTGTGTCTAGTTGTTCTGGTGTGCAGGGCTCTATAGCATCATTTTGAGGGAAGGAGTTGAAACAGTTTATGTCCAGGATGTGAGGGGTCTGTAGATATTTTCACAGCCCTCTTTTTGATTCGTGCACGATACAGGTCCTCCATGGAAGGCAGGTTGGTAGCCATTGTTTTTTCTGCAGTCCTAATTACCCTCTGAAGTCTGTGTCTGTCTTGTTGGGTTGCAGAACCAAACCAGACAGTTATAGAGGTGCAGATAACAGTCTCAATCCTTCCTCTGTAGAACCATCACCTTAAAAGGGCAAGTTGTGATTTGGGTAGTACATGTAGTCCTTGACTTATAACAGTTTGTTTTATGTCTGTTTGATCTTACAACAGCACTGGAAAAAGTGGCATGACCCTTGTTCACACTTACGACCGCTGTAGCATCCCCATGGTCACATAATCAAAATTCAGACTCTTTGACAACTCTCCTATTTATGACAGTTACAGCATCCCAGGTTCACGCAATCCCCTTTTTTGTGACCTTCTGACAAAATCACTGGGAAAGCAAGATTCACTTAACAACCATATTACTAACTTAACAACTGCAGTGAAGGTTACAGCAAAGGAAAAAGTATATTTGATTGTTCATGTATTAACCGCAGCCAGAACTGTATTTGCTCAGAACTGGAAAAGCGAAAAGATTCCAGCGGAGGGAAAGGTGACTGAGAAAATATTAGAATGTGCAGAGATGAATAGATTAGCACTGGCAATTAAGGAAAAGGATAAAATTGAATACTACTATATGGTATGGAATTTATTTTATCAATGGTTGGATAATAAAAACAAGTTAAAATTCAGTAGATGAATATATAGAGAATAAGTTAAGATTGTTATAAGGATGAGAGATATTGTCATGACTCGGGGAGTGGCACAAAAGCAACAAAGTCACAAAAGTAGGTAAAGTCCCTTTAATTCCTCCAACTTGGCCCTCAATGTCCCAGTTATCATCAGCTGGAGAAAAAACTCTCCCAAGAACAGTTTTTAAAGGGAAGAAATTCAGTCTGAACCCAAAGTATATATAGATTATAAATAAAAACCAACACAAACCACAGCTGAAGCAATTAACGAGACAGGGCAGGATAAGGAATTGCAGATTTCAAAACATAATGAAACACGCACAGTTGGGAGGACACCAGAACCCAGATTAGACTTGACAAACAAAGATAATGCACACTTTGCTTCCAGCAAGGTGCTATGTGCAAACACCCTTTTAAAATCCTGTTTTCCCAGCTGCAGCTAATGAAGGGAATCAGGACCTTTTTCTCCCCTGTAACCCACATTGCTCCTTTATCCGTTATTTCCTGCATGCCCTAGGATGAAGAGGGGGTGGCCCTGGGTCTTTCTTTGAATGCCCAGCCAGACTGTGCCCTTCCCCAGTTTCCTCCACAGCCACCAGAGCCACACTCCCGCTCCCTGTCAGCTGCTCGACCTCCGCCTTGGAATCAGATTCCAACAGGGGCATGACAGATATAAGAGACAATAGCATATAAAGAAAATGTGCTTATTGCTCTAACTGGTAAGAAAAGTATTAATTATAATTGTTAGCACAAGATATATCTACCCAGTCGACACACCGTTTAAATGAAAGATGAGTTTATTGTAAATATAAAATAAAAAACTTTAATTAAGAAAAACAATTGCAGTGATTCACTTACATGGTGTAAGAATGTCGCAAAACTCACTTGGAATAAATGTCGTGCTTAGCAACAGAAATTTTGGGCCCAATTGTGATCCGTGAGCCAAGAGAACCACATGTGGAAGCTCTGTTGTTGGAGGAGTGGCCGAACCTGCGGGGGTAGAGACAAGAGAGGAATCAGTCTGGAATCTCTAGGTAGTCACAAACGCAAAGTCCAACCTCTCTTGAATTC